CTGGGGAAGCTGGCAGGGAAGGTTGCAAATTGCAGGGTGCTGCAACCAATCATAAGTCCGGGACTCTGAAGACTGGTCATGACTACCATTCATTCAGCGCAATTGTAACTTTGAACAGTCGCTGAACAAATGGTCGTAGGTCAAGGACTACCTGTACTCTCTCTACTCACCTAATGGCAGCAGCAGAACTAGTATTGCTATTCATGCCTCCCTTTCTCCATATACATTTCAAGTCAATATAAGCCAATACAACAGATCCATCATGGGCCCTATTAGGCAGATGTGTATCTTTACATACAAACCCCTAAAGCCTCAGCAGAACTACACCAAGCTGATCATCACCTTATGAATGGCATCCAGGATTGGGGTGAAGAGGTCAGTGTCATAATTGGAGCGTTTGTTCTGAAGAATTGTCATCAATCTTTCTAGGCCCATTCCTGTGTCCACATGATGCTGAGGTAGATGGCGCAAGCTCCCACTGACCTCTCTAGAAACATACCAGTTGCCAACCAAGGAGGGAAAAATGATAAATGTTAATTGGAGGCCAAAGACTTGTTCAGCTGAAGAGAGGGGAATGGGAATGCTGCAAGAGATTAAACTAAAGTTGGAGAAAGGCACCAGGAAAACTGATGAGGACAGAGTAGATGACCAAGATCAATGGGAGACTATGCAAAGGTTCTTGTCCATCATAGATTAGGATGAGCAACCCGTTGCTATCGTTCCATAGAAATAATCTGTTAGATGAGCAGAGGCAAAGCCAGAACCACAAATGAGTACAGACACAATTTCTTAGATGCTCTATTTCCAATGCTTTCTGACACCCTCATCTCTCTTACCCAAGGAGCAGGCTACAGGAAAGGTACAGATCACTCTTGCTAGAGATCTGGGCTGATCTCTCATAGAAGACTTTTGAAATCAGGCCATGGACTGTCATGGGGGCCCTTCAGCCCAGAAGGTTGTTAGCTCTGACAATCTATGGCAAGTGGTATATAAGCACAAGAACAAGAATGCAGAAAGGGCAGTCGCCAGAGGCAGTACACAGTGTGATGGGGTAAAAAAGAAAAAGGGTTTTAAAATTATTTTGAAGATGATGGGGAGATAATGGGCAAAATGGGTACATGAAGCCTTGCAGAGACCTTGCTATGCCATATAAAACTACATTATAATGGAAGGGGGAGGGGGAGAAGAGGAATATATATTTAATATAAATAAATGGATTAATAAAGCAATACTGATTGGTGTAAAACCTGTGAACATTTATTTATTTAAAACATTTGCGTAGCCGCCCATCTTAAAACCAACTCTGATTATTCTATGGCATGTAACATTTTGCTAAGAAGTCAGGCTGTGGCATTAATATAAAACTCCAGCAGTAACATCATTTCATACCTGTTGTACTGTATGAAAACGAGGTTCCAGATCTCCACTACATCAGGGCTGCCCTGATTCACTAGTGCTGCCACATTCCTTCCACCACCTATATGATCATAATGGATTTCTGTGCATGGCCCACAGGGACCAGTGTCACCCATCTCCCAGAAGTTGTCTTTCAGGTGAAAAGGAAGAACACGGCTAGGGGGCACACTGAAAAACAAGCAAATTTAAAAAAAAAACAAGCAATCAAACAGAACAGCTGGTAAATGGAAGCAACAGATCTGTATTTTCCTTCTTTTCTCCAAATGCCTGGATCTATGAACTTCATGGACTGGAACTGTCAAGACAAGAAAGCTCTTCTTGGCTGCCACTTGGCTGTAGGTAAGTGAACTCCACTGGTAACCTGGATGTGGTTCATTCATTCTGCTAAATCACACATCAGCTTTACAAGCCAGAGGCTGGTTTCACAAAACATGCTAAGCCAAATAAACAAACCATATTGTGCCACAATATGATATGTACAACCAGTTCCTCCTCTACTTTACAATCCTGGCCTCTACTGATGAAGGCTAATGAGCAAGAAAAATAATGTTATGGTATTCGGTCCATGCTTGCTGTACACATGGTGGTTTTGGTCTTTTTGGCATGACTGGGGATCAAGACCGTGCAAAGTGTGAGCCAAACTGGGGGTACAAATCAGATAAAACTATATAAGAAATAAAACGTGGCTAAAAACTATTCTAGGCAATACGCTGATCAATCCCTCTTTCCTAGCTCATTGTCTGGTTTCTGTAATATTATATGGAGATGCTGCTGCCATTTTTTCCATACTGTGGTAGGTTTGCAAACATGCCTTCAAGCCTTATCACTCTATTGTTCCAAAGAATTCCTGGAAGTTAATTACTCAAAAATGAAGGATCAATCTGTTAATACTTCTAAGACATTGGCAAAATATCTGTCATTAGCAGTAACTCCTAGAAACCATCTAGTTCCCACTTAATGTAAATTATTGTTTGGGGTATTTGTATGACGTACAGTGGGGCAAAAAAGTATTTAGTCAGCCACCAATTGTGCAAGTTCTCCCACTTAAAAAGATGAGAGAGGCCTGTAATTTTCATCA